TTGCAATAAAAAATTAAAAAAAAAAGGTTAAGAAAAAAAAAAAAAGAGGGATAAGAGGTCCAGACGCTAGCAATGATGGGAAGCCTTTGCCACCCCTAGAGTTGCAGAGATAAGAGTAGCAAATTGTGTTCCCCAAGCCCAGTGGGAGCTGCACCCGTATGAAGAGGGGCTAGTCAAGGGAAATTATATTGCAGAGGGACACCACTACCACTGGAGACATTACAGAAATGGGAAAAGGGAAGATGAAATACCCCGACCTGTCTTTCCTCCTTGCTCTCTGACCTCTCTCCTGTCAGTGTCTCCACTGGGTGGAAATCAACCTGCAAGAGAGAGACTGGGTGATGCCACCTGAAGGCGTCATCCTCCAGGGCACCAGATAGGACAGAGAAGGATGACGTGTAGGAGTGAAAAGGAGAATGACCAGAACAAAGTGAGCCTGCCTACCCTTTACAGAGGACTGGCTTTGTTTCACATCCACCATTATCAAAGTGCCAGGTGCCCGCATCCAGAGGCGGCATCCAGAGGCGCTGTGACATTGCAGGGGTGCCTGAACTGTGGGCCAGGAGACCTGACTGCTCATGACGTGGGCTGGGTTTCTTGGCCTGACACAGGGGCTAGTGCAACCACAGCATGAAAGATTATGTTCAGCGGGTATTGTGGTCACCTTATTGGACAGCTCTTTACGGATCACATGTAGCAACATATATGCCTTTTACCTTCCGAAAATACCACCCTTTTCTCCCTTCTTCTGTCCATAATTTCTCTCTGTCCCTCATCCCCCAATCTTTCCCATTTCTGATTTAAATGGTGGGATTTTTCTGGGTTAAATTTCTGTAGAAGTAGGACCGATGTCTGTCTTGTTCACGGTCGCAACTCCAAAAGTGGCTGGCACGTGGTGGGCCATCAACCAACATTTGTGTGGTTAATACACGGATGATTCGGAAGAACTCCTTCCCGTCATCTCAGGAGTCACCGCCCACTGCGGCGCGGATGCAGGTGGAGACACCGCCCGCCGCCGCCCAGGGGTGCAGCCCGAGCAGGAGAGGAGCTGCTGAGGGCACAGAGCCTGGGGCTTCCAGCCATGGACCTTCTCGGGTTTTGGGGGTAATGGTAGGCACCTGCTTCCCCAGTGACCCGGGCCCTAAAACCATGGAAAACTTCCCCTGGACTCAGTTGATATCGCTCACACCCCGGAAGCAAGTCCAGAACCAGGGTTTTATCTTTCTGGGACCTTTGGTCACAGGTGGAGCTTGTGGTGAGGAAGAACAACAAACCGGCACGAGGACTCTGCTCCACTGTTCAAAGCCCCTGAAACTCTGACCACATCCCAGGAGACTCGGGAAGCCAGTGAAGAGGAGAAACAGACGTAAGAGAAAGGGGTCTGAGCAGAAAACAGGGAGCAATGCTCAGAGGAAAGTGAGGCAGCTCCCCGGAAGGTCCTTCCAGAATGGCTTCCGCCCCGTCGGAAGGGGTGACACTGAAATCCTGCACGCGGGAGCTGGGAGCTGTTCACTAGTCCAGCCTCCGGCACGTCCCGGGTGTATTAAACACGCTTTTCCTTCGTCCACATTCCGCCGCGAGTTTTAGGGAGACACGCTGTTCCCCCTCGGCGGCCTCAGCTCCGGAGTTCGGAGCAGAGAGAACTTGGGATACTCACGGGCAACGCTGCGCTTCACCGTAAGTACAATGAGGAGGGGTAACAGGAGCACCATCAGCCCTTCTAAAATGCTTTCTTTCAGATTCTTCTAACCAAAACACCGGCAGGTCCCGGTCGATCTTTCAGGAACCTAAACTCCTCCCACTCTTCAGGGTTTAGAAACTGCTCGAAGCTCAGGGCCCTCTCCCAATAAAAACGGCGGATATATGCAGTGTCATCAGTTGCTAGGCAGAATAGAGAAAGAAAAAAAAAACCAAAACACGTGCGCTTCCAGATTCACTTTTAACCCTTTGTTGGCTTCAGGCGCCGCTTGATCCTTTTAGTATGCCTGTCTCAAACCTGTTCCCAATCTTTTAAAATTATTATTATCATCATTATTTTTCAATTACAGTTGGCATACAACATCATATTAGTTTCAGGTGCCCTATTCCCAACGCTTAAAATATTTACAGAGCACAGCTATGTGTAAGGCACAGGGAACACAGAGATTAGTCATTCCTTGTCCCCCCAGGGAGCACAAAAGAAAAGAAGCCTTTATTTCTTCACTGGAGCATAGATTTCACCGTAGAAGGATGTGCAAGACTCACACAAGGTCCCAGGACTTGCAACTCCCTGCCCCGGCTTCCTACAATGCAATAGTCCATACAGCTGATAGAGCACATATCACTTAGCCAGTCTTAACATTTTTAGCTTAGGTCTATTTTCCCTGATGCTCGCACCCAGTACAATAAACTAAATAAATAAATAAATAAATAAATAAATAAATAAATAAATAAATCAATAAATAAATTTAATGCTTTAATAAAGGAGAGCAAGTAAAAGGCCTAAAAGTAGATTCTGAGGGGCAGCCACTTGGCTTGTTTGATTAGCAATCTTCAGGATTAAGCTCTGACTACATTGTGATCAGGAGAGTGTGACAAGTTGATAGGCAGCAGCTTAAGCTTTTCCAGGAAACTTGGGGACAGGCCTAGGCAGGAAGTAGAGGTGACTGGGAGAGATGAGTGGAGTCAAGGCTACGAGGGACCCAGGTTTGCATCATAGCTACTTGACCTTCAAGAGAACCCCAAATTGAGCTGAGGCTCCGTTTCTACAACTGAAAAAGCAAATCCTGGCATATATTTCATGAAGTTGTTGAAGTATTAAATGAAGTTATGTTTATGATGTACCTGGTAGGTATTAGAACTATACAAATTGATTTCCTTCTGTGGTAGGTAAATACCGATCCCTCCCCCACCTCCCCCTCCCCCCCACACACATCTTAAAGATATGCACATCCTAATCTCCAGGACCTGTGACAGTTACTTTATGTGACAAAAGGGACTTAGCCTATATGGTTGAATTAGTAATCTTGAGATGAGCAGATTATCCTAATTAGCTGATGGGCCCAATGCAATCACAAGGTCCTTGTAAGAGGGAGGCAAAAGGGTCAGAGTCCGAGACATGTCAGTAGAAGCAAGGTTGAAGTAATGCCAATGCTGGAAGGGAGACATGGCCAAGGAAAGCAGACGGCCTCTAGAACTGGCGGGAGAGGGAACAGATTCTCCCATGGAGCTTCCAGGAAGAATGGAAGCCTGCCAACACTTTGATTTTAGCCCAGGAGACCCAGTTTCAGACTTCTGACCTCCAGAACTGCAAGAGAATAAATTTGTGTTGTTTAGGCCACTAAATCCATGGTAATCTGTTATAGCATCATTAGGAGACATTGGGACTTTGGTTAGAGTTATACACACACTAGAGGCCCAATGCACGAAATTTGGCCCTCACAGCCCCGGCTTTGTTCAGAAGGTCATCCAGACGGTCGTTCTGGTCTAATTAGCATATTAGATCTTTATTATATAGGATAATCACCATTAGCCCTCTTGAGCCATCCCAAATAAACAGCTAATTTAAGAGAGTAGGTCTGCCATGTATCCTCAGTTCAAGCCTCCTAGCCCTGCTGTCCAAATTTTTAAGCTACATTCTGAAACTGCCCTATGTAGAAATTCTGGAGCTGCTTCTGAAAATTATGCATGTATATCACCTAGCACAATGTCTGCTCCATAGTAAGGAAATGTTAGCAATCATTGGTACTCTGCTATTATTCACTAGTTTACCAAGAGAGATTGTGGTTTCCCTTCCCCATGCACTGACAAGTTCATAGAGATGGTAAAGTGTATATCTGCTCTCTACAACGATTCAAATTCACTGTTTCATCAAGAAGTTCACTGAATTCGAATAATGAATTTTAACTTTTAATACTTGCAAAAATCCATTCATTCATATATTCCTAACTTGCCTTACTCTCAAAAATATTTAAAACTGCTAAATTTTGATGTTCTTTTGCATGTGTTACTTGGCTTTCTCACTTCTCTTTAAAAAAATTTTTTTTTAATAATAATGGCCTTTTTTATTAGTAGATCAAATTAACAGATATCCCATAATTCCAAATTAGTGACAAACATGAACAGTATTTCATGATGCCCATAACAACCCTGCCTTAAAAATGAACTGATTTACTGCTAGAATTCATATTTGGCAATAAGGCTAACTTTCAGTTATATTAGTGAAAATAAAGATGTATTATTTTCCTCCATCAAATTCATGGATACCCCTAGGAAAAGCTCAGTTAAAAACCCTTCCGCAGTTCAACTGAACATTCCATGTTTCTTTCCTGGCTGTGTTTATGGCAGTCATTGCAAGTTCTCGTTCTAAGCTTGTGTTCAGGACCCACTGATAAGAACTTGTTTGAAAAGCAAGTTCGCTGATGCAAGTTCTGGTTCTTCTGATACAAACAGCTGCTGAGTTGTCACAGATGTGTTAAGGTCAACAATTCATTTTACTGACTTCCATCTCAGAGGCCATCAGGGTGTGGCTGTGGGGCAGCCAGGGGCTGGGACAATGTGTCCACTGTGTTGATGGCGCAGTCCTGGGGATGGATCTCCCTGGCCTGCTGTTACGTCCTCTTCAATGTGCAGGCCTGCTGGCACAGGGGCGAGATGGGGGGCGGCGTGTCGGGGGGTGTACTTGGGCTCTGAGCCGTCTTCCAGGTCCAGTGGGTAACTCAGGTCCGAATCATAGGAGCTCAGGTCCCCACAGGTCACAAATGGCACAATGCTGCGGGTGGGACCATCTGATTGGTTGAGGCCTCGATTGTAAGAGGGGTCCGGCAGGGGTTTGGTCAGGTCCGGCAGGAAGCCCTCAGGGGGGTCATAACCCTGACAGACGGCGAAGGCCTCCCTGCTGGCCTTCCGGCTGCTGCTGGGCTTGGCACAGAGCACGCTGGAGAAGAAGACATGCAGCTGGCTGTAGATCAGCGTCATGTCCCGGCCTCGGAAGATCTTGGCTACAAAGCAGCCCCCGGGCTTCAGGACGTGTGCAGCGATGTTCAGAGCGGCGAGGAGAAGCTGGGCCTGCAGATACTCATCAACCTCATGGAGGCCGGTTACATCAGGAGCCCCATCGCACACCACCAGGTCCGCCGGGCAGCCCTCAAAGTGCCGGAAGATGTCCTCAGCAGTGGACAGCTGGGTGATGTCCCCCTGGATCTGTAACACACCTGGGAGCGGAGCCATAGCTTGAAGGTCCACAGCCACCACGTGGCCGGACCCCTGTGGACTCCCGATCTTCTGGCTCAGCACCTGGCTCCAGCTGCCCGGGGCTGCACACAGGTCGACTGCCCGTGTCACACCTTCAAAGAGTCGGAATTCCTCATTGAGCTGTAGCAGCTTGAAGGCACTGCGGGCGCGCCAGCCATTCTCCTTGGCCAGGCGGTAGTACACATCCCGCTTGTCCTTCGACGTCCGTCCCATCTCGCACACTGTTCGCCCAGGGGCTTTGGGTCTGAAGCCTCCCGGGTGTCAGCCGGCCAGACTACTAGCTGCAGAGACGAGGGTGAACTTCTCTCCTTCCCTCGCTGGCGGGACAGCGCAGTGGTGCCTCAACCGTGTAGGCCTGGGCTCGCGGGAGGCATGGGACGGAGGAGTCCGGTCCGCCCGCAGCCCCAGTCAAACCTGTGAGAAATCGCAGGGCTCCAGTTTCTGTTCTTAGTTGATCCGAACGCCTATGGCGCAGGCCGGCGAGCCGCTGCAGGTAGGCAAGGCTGTCAGGGTGATGCGAAAACTGCGCGAGGCGCGGACCAACCGAACTTACTGCGCATGTCCGTCACCTTGCGTCACCTTGCGTGGATGATGTAGCTGAACGGAGAACTGCGGTTCCCAGGATGCAAAGGGCACGACCAAAGCTGCTGAACGCTTCCAGCGGTTCTCAACCTGTGGGTCGAGACCCCTTTGGAGGTCAAACGACCCTTTCACAGGGGTCGCCTAAGACCATCGGAAAACACATATATAACTACATATTGTTTTTGTGATGAATCACTGTGCTTTAATTATGTTCAAATTGTAACAATGAAATTGGGGGTTACCACAACACCAGGAACTGTATTAAAGGGTGGTGGCATTAGGAAGGCTGAGAACCACTGGAAACATTTCTAAATGTATTTTTGTGTTCCTGATGATCGAAGTAAAGATTTCATAGTGCCAGACTTTAAATGCATTTCCTTTTTACTATACATTTCTTCTGTGTATTAAAAGATATTTCCTTTATAAAAATGAACAGAGTTGAAATCATATATATACAATTTTGCTATCTTTCATACATGTCATTATACACTTTTAAATCACATTTCCCATAACCATCAAATGGGTATTAAATTCTTAATGGCTTGCTAGTGTTGGATATGTAAATTGAGTAGAATTCCTCTGTGTTTACTTTAAACTAGTGTGTAGAGAGTAAGGGTGCAGGTGTTGGTCACAGCCTAGGAAAAGGAAGGCAACATACCCCGTGTGTGGCTATGGGCGTGGCCATTTCCTGCAGATGGGGCTGAGGCATGCAGACAGCTGTGGCGGGACCAGTGAAAGC